CATTCAAACTCCTAAAGGGTTTGGATGACATTGGGGAAGAAGGGAGACCACTTCTCCCTCTTCCATCTGTCGTAGCATCGGGGGATCCCTGGAGCCCACCGCTGCAGGAAACTGGGCTAACTGGCACACCGCCGTCAACGTCCTGGAACCGAACTGAACTGAACTGACCTGACCTTGAGTGTATTGGATCGCTACGGGAGGACGACCACGCGGATGGATGTCCCAGTTGTTTTTCCGGCTTCCATAAATATACCCGAGGAAGAACTTTCAATAGGAAAATTTTGGGAAGAAAATAAAATATTTGAAACCTCATTAAAACAGTCAGAGAATCGACCGAGGTTCACATGCTTGTTATGAGTTGCTATAACCTCATGTAGATACACGTTTTATGATGGACCGCCGTTCGCCACTGGTTTACCACATTATGGTCATCTTTTGGCCGGCACGATAAAAGACATTGTGACGAGGCATGCGCATAACTCGGGCTATCATGTTGATCGCCGGTTTGGTTGGGATTGCCACGGATTACCTGTGGTAAATAGTGCTAGACAGACCCAATCGTTTGCATTTTAGGAGTACGAGGTAGACAAAGAATGCGGCATAACAGGTCCACAAGATGTCCTCAAAATGGGCGTTAAAGCTTACAATGACAAATGTCGATCGATCGTCATGCGGTATAGTTCTCAGTGGGAGGTAACTTGTTATTCAGATGTAATGCTCTTCGAAATAGAAAGTTACGCAACGTTTGGGCCGATGGATTGACTTCAAAAACGATTATCGCACTATGTATCCATGGTTTATGGAATCAGTGTGGTGGGTTTTCAAACAGATGTTCGACAAAGGGCTTGTGTACCGTGGCGTGAAAGTGATGCCTTTTTCAACTGCCTGCTCCACGCCGCTGTCCAATTTCGAGGCTGGTCAGAACTATAAAGATGTCCAGGATCCCGCAGGTTAGTTCTGATTTCGTCTTACTGTATTTTTTATAGTTATCGTGAGCTTTCCTCTGGATACTCAGAAGGATGTGGAGTTTGTTGCATGGACCACTACACCATGGACTTTGGTGAGCAACCTTGCCTTATGTGTTCACCCCGACAAGGAGTACGTCAAGGTTTTGGGTAAGATTTCCAACCTCGATTTCAATTTTGCGCATTCATATGTTTGCTTCTCAATAGTATGATGTCAAAAAGTCACCAATCAACGGACACTTCGGCTCGCGTGGGTATCCTCTGAAGTCCGATTACAGTAGACAGATTAAGTATATAAGCATCATACATATTCATTTTCAAACATATTCAAGAACTTTTCCGCTTCCATAATTCCTTCATTTACGTTTTTAGTTTTTAGTTGTTTTCAGGCACGCCTTCATGAATCGTTTTTAAATTTCTATTTCGAATTAAGAGGGGTTCTTGAGTAGCAATCTCATGCTGGCAGATTGCAGTGTCTTTGGGGCACTCCATCTTCGGTCACATACTCGACTCTCCTGTGGCTCTGAGATGCTGAAGTATGCAGCAACAGCCAAACCCCGATAAACTGCTCTAAAGGTGGAATAGACCTTGTTGAAGGTAAACGAGAGGATAAACCGGCGACGAGATATGACGTGTGAAGACAGCAAATCCTTAGTGGATGAACGAGATCTGCATTCTGATTCAAGTGATAATGGCATTTGTCAAACTGCTATAGATGAATGAATCACTGGAATAAACCCACACATTTGTTGGTAAATCAACTGCTAGTTACCCACCAGCAGCTGTGCATCAATACTTGTTATGCAGTCTAGAAGGCGAACGTTCTGGCCACTTGCTAAGGCAGTCTTCCTTAACTTCTAGCCTCATTATGTTTGGGATGGGTGTCTCGGGTTGTGATTGGTCAGTTCAGCTCGGTTTTACAACCATTAACCATGCTTTTTCGTGCACCAGTTTTGGTTTCTGTCTTTCGACAGCCCATTTGGTTGAAGCAGTGGAAGAAAAACAGAAAAGCTGACAGTAGAATAGAGGAGCAAATAGAGAATTTCACTGGACTAAAATTGCAAAATAATTGAGATGCACGAGCGCCACTGTTTGCGGCACTTAACTATATCAATCAATGTCTCAAACCGTTAAATACTATGATCCCGAGGTCCCCATCCAGGGAGCCTAAGGCGACCTATACGACTAAGTCCCCTGATTGGGGTTTTCATACCCTCATGCCAGGTCCTATTTTGACCACCCCTGGCTTTTTTCTACCCACCATCTGCCTCTGCGAAAATCGCGCTGCTTGGCAATCTATTTGGCGACATGCGTAACATATGCCCCAACCAACGTAATCTATGGAGATCGAACACTTGCTCCAGTGGGCGAGCCTAAACTCAGCATTGCTCGTGCGACTACCCAATCAGATTCATGCAATACTGCGTAGAAAACAGTGTTAGATTTAAATCAGTTTAAAAAGAGGGAATATTTCAGCTGTGGATTCATTTCACTTACTTATCGTGGCTATGAGTACAGTGCTACCGTAGTTACTTCTAGGAAGTTTACAACTGCGTAAAATTTAGTTTCATTTTTACTCGGAGAGCCCGTTCATTCTTTTTTACAGTGAGGTCTGAGAGGCACCTGATTCATTGGTTCCCACTGGTATACGTCTGTAGCGAGTCCCGTTGGATATGTGCCGGTTATGCTAGCCGTACTAAATTCTGTTGACAGTTCCCACTCTTGAATGATGAAATGCCGAATAGGTTTGGTGGATGTAGACCTCGAAATATTGCGTCCATCAGTCTCAATTTGGACAGCCAATAGTTACATTTCCATGCTCTCGTGGTGGTTGCTGAGTTTTGTACCACACTTTGA